AGTATTAAGGCTATGGATCTGCTTGCTGAGCAATGGAGCTGGGCAGGGAGTTGCTAGTGGCTTTTCTTGGTGTCCCAGGGGCCTCAGAAACCCCTTCTGCTGGCCCCTGGGGTCCACCTTCCTTCCCTTTGCAGGGGGGGGGGCTGCAGTGGCAAAGAATGGAAGATTGTGCCAGAGGTCACCGGTGCCGCTGAATGAGTCAGAGCCCTGCCCAGAAGATTGCTCTGATCTTCTAATCTGGCTGTCCACTTCTCTGTTTGCTCTTCCTGGGCAAAAGGGAGACTTTCCATTGTTGAGTCCACTTTGCTTGAGCCGTGTCAGATGCAGCCATGGACAAAAGACGCAGGATGTCCCGGACAACTCTGGGCTCATTGGCTCATTTCAATTCTGTTGAATTGCCCTAACTGGGGGAGGGGAAGGTGGTCTCTGGGGGGACAAACGAAGGTTAGCACTTGGACTGCAATACAATGCCTTGCTCCGTGGATCCGTGCTTGGTCTCCTGCCCAAGCTGTGCTTGGAGAGAAACTGCACCAGCCGAGGGACCAAGAAAACCAAGATCTTCCTGGATCTTGGCTTTCCAACCCAAGGAGTGCCGGTGCTCTTCACTGGCCCTTACGTGGCCCTGCTGTCTCCATTCCCCAAAGTGCCAGTTTGCTCCTGGGTGTTTCTCCTTTCCTCCCCAGGTGGTGAAGCTCAGAAGCAGCTCCACACCAGGTGATGTTTCAGTAGCAGAAGCGATGCCACACGCCAGCACTGCTCAGGTAGTGGCCAAGTCTCCGCTGAGCTGACTGCGGTGGTGGCTTCATTGCAGGCGGACCCGGCTGGTCCAGAACCTTTGGTGCCATCGGAGCCCCCGTGACCTCTCACCAAAGAGACCAAACCAAGAGCAACATTCTTGCCTCTTCCGGAAGGAAGGCCCTCGTGGGGAGGAGAAAATCTGTTCCAATTTCATGAGCTCATCTGCTCCTGGGCATAAAAGGTAACCCGGGGCAAAAGGGAATGACAGGCGCTGCAGAATGCCATTGCTGGGCCAACCAAGCCCAGTTTCTCCCCAGCCCTTCCCCTGGGATTAGGGCAGCAGAACTCGGGGGGAGGAATCTGGGGTTCTGTCCCCAATTCTGAGACTCCTGCTGCACCCCCAGCCAGAAAGGACCGTCTCCGTTACAGCCAGAAGCAGAGATGAACGCAGGGAGAGCTGCTTCTGCTTTCTGCAATGTGTTAATTCAGAAAGGGTACAGGCCGTATTTATTTATTCATCAAATTTATGTGGCTTCTGCATTGTATTTATTTATTTATTTTATTTTTTATTTATTTAAATTTATATTTAAATAAATAATTATATTTATATATTATAATTATATTATATATAATTATAATATAAATATAAATTATGTTTATATTTAAAATTCCTTTATTCTTAATTAACTAGGGTGAATTCTTCCCACACTTCTTATTTGCAGGTCCAGAATAATTGAATGCAAAGCCTGAAGACTCGGGAAGAAATTAAATTGTCCCATTCATAATTAACCAAGGCAAATATTTCACACATCTCTGGCCTCTATTTCTTATCTGAGGAATTTGTAATAAATGGAGACTGAAAGGAAAGAGGAAAATAGCAGGTTGAGCAGAATCCGCCTCTCTCAGTGCAGCTGATCGTCCTTCAAAGCTCACAGCAAACATCTGCTACCAACATGTTACCAAAGGAGATGATTTTCTACCTGGGTGTCACTTAAGACCTCAAAGTGGTGGTTTATCAAAAACATCAAAAATCCTTTGTTTAATCAGATTAGTCTGGAGTGCACTAAGAGGCTTATTATATTAATTGTCAAGCCTTTGCAACCCAGAACCATCTTCTTCCTCTGTTCTTGCAGCTCACAGGACTTGCAGGACTTGAAGCTGACCTTAAAAACAGACCTAGATGCTCTCCAGTTAATCCAGGAAATGTGGGGTGCTCTTGAGGCAAAGAGGCAGCCTCCTGCCCTGCAGGAGCTCAAGGAAGACAGTCCCCTGCTTGAGGGAACGGGTGAGGCTGGCAGAATTCAGCTGCTCAGAAATGAGCCCACCGGTGGCTTCTCTTACATCAAACAGCTGAGGAAGAAGCAGTGGGGGCCTTGAAGAAATTCTTCCAGGGCTTCCCACAGCTTTGCGACAACCCCAATATCAGCCAGCGCCTTTTGGAACCCCATCACCAAATCTCCCCTACAGCCAGTCTGTAAAAGCTAAGAAGGAATTCGGGCACCAGCAAAATGGAGAAACGGAGGGTTTTTTTAAGCAATTGGTCCCAGTATGTCTGTTTGCTTTCTAAGTTGTGACAAAGAGGGCCAGGTTTTCTTTTTTATATTTAAAATATCCTAGTTTGCAGAAATTACGAAGGGGGAAAAATTAATTTTCCTTCAGCCCCTCAAGCAAAAGTAATTTTCATGCAGCCTCAGTTTAAATCTCCAACTAGTGCTGCAGTATTACAATCTTTTGTTTTGCACCCCCCCCCCAAAAAAGTTTGCTTCTTGATCCTTCTGGCACCAGGCAAAGCTGCCACCCTCCAAATCCCTGCCTGAAAGGGAAGCCCAAATCAAGATCCTCAGTGCAGCTGCTAAGCAAACACCGCTTACTCCTGTCCGGAGATAAAATCTGTTTGTCTGGCCGGTGTCCAAAGTTCTCATGAAGGGCTGAGGACCCCTGCGCTACCCAGGACCAGCCGGTCTTGGCTCGGAAGTCCTGGGTGGCTTTCAGTGGCTGCTGGCAAAGGAGCTTCCCTAACCCATTCTTGGCTCTAGGGAAGGAGGGAACCTTGGGCCGGGCGGCCCCAAACAGCCTTGCGGGACTCACAAGAGTGTGGGGCGATCTGGGCTAAGCAAAGAGACTGAGAGGCTCTGCTTCCCTTTTGGGGACCCCTGGATGACAGTTTGCCACCCCCCCAACATCTGGGAGGGGAACAACAGATCCCTCCCAAGGAGAAGAATGAAATAAGAGTCTAGGCGGGGCCTTTTCCTAGCTGGGTTTTGTGAATAAATGCAGGGAGGATCCAGGCCCCAAAGTGTGGTGCAGTAGCTGATGGCCAAGAAAGAAGGGACTCTGAAGGACAGGCTCAGGACGTGCCAGGGAGTCAGGCCAGAGGAGGGGTGCTGCTGCTAATCCAGCAGGCGAATATTGCTCTGGGAACACAAGTGAAAGTCAGCAGACTCCAGGGACAATGTGGCAGGTCTTCCCCCCCTGCCTGCTGCAATCGAGGGCCGGAGAAATGGGTCCCTCTTCAACCAGGTGGAGGTAAACTCTGCTGGACTTCCTCCCTCCCTCTCTTTCCCCATGAATGAATACGCCACACTCCCTTTTCATGCTGAGATGCCTTTGCTGCTCCCGACCACACTCGGGGGCAGAGTCAGCCCCCCAGGGCTTCTCCTGTTCTCTGGATGGGAAGCGCCAATTCCGGGGAGCAGGGAAGAGCCGCCTTGTCCCTTGGAAGCTGGGGGGGGGGGGCTGTTTGAGCCAGACCTTCTTCCCAATCCCCCGGGGCTGCACGAGATGAGCCCCGTCCCAGAGGCCGCGGCTTACCTTTCTTTCTTCTGCCATCGGGCTTCCCTTCAGCAAGAAGCACGCAGAGGAGCAGCAGCAGTGGAAGGGCCAGGCAGCTTCTCATGGTGCCTTTGCCCAGACGCTGGGCCAAGCTGGTTCCCGGTGGTGGAGGGACGGAAGGGGCCCTCTTGTCGCCGGTAGGTAGTGAGGACTAGCAGCTTATTAATGATTAACCTTTTGCATGGAATTGTCTGTTTCTCCTGTGCCCCCCTAGACAAATCAACTCTGTCTGGCCCGATCAGAAGCTGTTTTTGGTTCCTAGAGGGCCTCCCCCTCCCCCTTCCCCTCCTGGCCCTGAGGCGTCCCTGAGTGGGTGAGAATGAGAAAGCAGCCCTGAAAGCTTGGATGGGGGGGGGGAAGGAAGTCCACTGTTTTCATTAACCTTTCTCCAGAGATATTGCGAAAGGCCAGGTGGGAGGGCAGCCTCAGACCTTTCTCTTGTTGAGGTGGCACCCCTCTTCTCCCACCCGAGTGAAGGTGAGGCTGGCATCCACCCCCCCAGCCTGATGGGGCAGGACCTGCTCCAGAGAGGCGGCTCAGGGCTGATTGGGGCTCAAGTGGGGAGCCCGTCAGCTCCTCTGAGATCCTCCCCTGGCCAGTTGGTCAACATGGCCTTTGGCACCATCCTGTTTGCCCTTGTCTGCCCCCCTCCCCCGCCTGTCTCTCATCCCTTTTCTGCATCTGCTTTGGCCATCCTCTTGAAATCTCCCCAAAGTCTGTCATGATTCCCAGCCTCCCCTTCTCAGCATTACTGCTTGATTTCAGCTACTACACCCTCCCTGGGAACTCATGACCCCCCCTTTAAGCGTGCCATCTTCACCTGTTCTTCCACCCACATTGCTGATCTTTGGGGGCTCTAAAACTAGGACAGGGGGAGGTGCATTTGGACAGCTATGGAGCCGGCACCAGTTTCCTTGACCAGTTGGAGAGATGGAGAAGAGCCATGGAGTAAAGGGCAGCTTGATGGGGGGGGGCCCTCAGGGCAATCACTCCTGTTGCAAAGACTGCAAAGCAAACAAGGGAGACAAGCCAGGGACACCTTTGACTTCTCAAACAGAACCAGGCCCACCTTCTGATATAGGAGGCCCCGATCCAAGGGGATCTGCTGGGCTGAAGGGGCCAGCATTGCCATCCATGCCACCCGCAGGCAGGAGGGCAGAGACCCCAGCTCCCTGGGGTCTGGAGGGAAGCAGCGGGCTTTGTGGACTGGCACCCTCCCTTTGCTGGCCAGTTTGGCTTGCTGGGTCCTCAAGAGATGGGCCAGGACCACCAGAAGAGGGGGCCCCTTTTGCTTCTGGACAAATGGATTGGAGGGGGTATTTCTCTCTGCTTGCTTCTTCCTTGGATGCCCTCCTGGGGGGGGCATCACTAGCACACACACGCCCCTCCCAGGGAGGTCATGTCTTCCCAAGTAGACACTGGCATTGTGATTGGGAGAAAATGTTCTTTATTCACCGTCCCTCTGGATGTCCCTCTGGAACAAGGCAGAATTGCACACTGGGGCTGGAGACAGTCAAAGAAGCCAGTTCGAATCCAGCGTTCAGCACCTTTGCTGAAGTCAGAACTGCTCCATTGGCTTGACAAGAAAGAGATGGCTGGCCTGGGGGCGGGGAGGGGGCTCTAGATCTGTTCCTTTGGGGGTCCTGCCAAATGCTGTGTTGTCTGTGTGTGTGAGATCATAAGCAAGAGAGGGTTCTTTTTTAAATTATAGCCAATTCATTGACCCACAAGAGACACTAAAGCCCTGGATCCTGGAGTGGGGGCTTCTGTATGTCTCTGGTATATAAAGGTTGGGAAGCGGTTTTATTTTGTAAAAACAAATGTATAAAAGTGATATGACTTCCTATATTCCATTTTATTGCTTTCTTATACTGTTTCTATGATAATCACTATTACAACATACCCTGACAATGCTTATATTCATTACTATTCAATATGTTATACTCCATACTACTCAATTGCTACTATTGCTACTCCCTATTATTCTACTACGATTTCCTCTAAACTATGCTCTCCACTAGTCCACCTCAGAGCTTCTTTCTGTCTGGAGTCCCTTCTGGGATTTCTCTGCTGCTGCTGTTGCTCACAGCCCCCACCCCCCAACTCCTCTGCCTCGGGCTTCTCTGGCTGGGGCCCCTTTGACTTAGCTGCAGAGCTCCAAAACATGCATCCTCCCACACCTGGGTCAAGGTTGCGGCTTTGTTGGCAACTCTGCTGGGCTGCTGCTGGGGAGAAGGCAGTGGAGGGACCTGCTAGGCAGCCTGCTCTTCCACAAGCCCCCCCCCCACCTGTTCAGAAATGCCATTCTCTGGGCAGCAAGAATGGTTTGCAACAGCTCAGGAAGCGCCATTCTCTGGGAAGCCCCTTTGGGGGAACCTCAGTGCCCAGAAGAGCTGAGTGGTTCTGGGTGCTGCTCTCTTCTGGCTGCCCAGATTGAAGCTAAAGGTGGTTTTTGAACTCAGGTGTGAAAACGGCTCTGCTAGCTGCTCAAGGGGGCCCTGGCCCGGCACTGGAGGCACCCAGGAGGACAAAGCGCTGCCTGGGGTTTTGCCAGACACTCTTTGTTGTTTGGAGGGAATGGAGACTGAAGACCTGGGGAAGGAGGGGAGATGGAGCAGAGGCAAGCAAAAGGTCAATGAATCATTTTCTGATTTAAAAGTAACTTTCTTGAGGGTTTGTGGTGAGAGGCTATTTTGACCTCCTGCCACCTGTGGCTTTCCTGTGGGCTATGGGTCCTCTGGTGGTGGGGGACTGGGAGCTTCATTGGGCCCTACTTCCCCTCCTCCAGGTGGGTCAGTTCATGTTCGTGGAGGGCGTCCGTGGCTGTCTTCTGGCAGGGGGACAGGGGGAAGTGGTGGACCTCAATGAAGAGCATGTAGGTGGCAGCTCCCAAGGCTGCCCCGACCATGGGGCCGGCGATGGGGACCCACCACCAGTTATTGCCAGCTCTGTGGGGGGAAAGAAATAGGCAAGTTTCATTACCACGGATTTAGAGAGTTGCTCTCAGGGTACTTAATCCTCCCTAGCCCCCAGACCCCTTTGAGCCTGTATTTCTTGCTTAGAACCCACCAACCTGAACCCACTTCCTGAGGCAACGGCATTGCTTCCGAGGAGAAGAATTAAGCCCTTCAATTTGGAAATGAAACGTCCACGCAGAGCTAAAAGCGCGCCGATGGTCAAAGAAGGGCCAAGGGCCACTTCTGGCCTGGATGCCACAGGACGCCTAAGCAAAGGGAGGCGCAGGCCACTCGCTCTGGTGAAAAGCAGCCGCCGCGATTGGCCGCCAGATGGCAGCCTTGCGACGCGCTGGCTCGACGGGCGGCTTCCGCGGAGAGCAGCGCCCCGCGGGAGGAGGCGAGGCCGGGCCGAACCGGACCTACGAGGCGGCGGGAGGGCAGAGGGACCGGCCGGCTCTGCGCCTGCCCTGAGGTTTCTGGACTTTGGGGGGAGCCAGCTACGGGGGAGCTCCGCCAGCCTGCCCAGCTCAAGTCTTGCTCTTCCACGGAGGCACGTGGGGCGACCTCGGGCAAGACCCTCCTGCTCAGCCTCGCAGCCGCACTCGGGGCAAAGGAAACACGCGCCCCCCCCATGGAAGCCCTTCTGGGTGGGTTAAGAAAGCAGGGATGGAGATGGCTGATGGTCCAGGGGCCCCCCTGCCCAGGGCCAAGGACTCACGTGAAGACTTCGGGCCCCCACCCTGCCAGGTAGGTGAAGAGGCGGGGGCCCAAATCTCGGGCAGGGTTCATGGCGCAGCCGCTGTTCAGGGCCATGGAGGAGGTCAGCAGTATGATGAGGAGGCCGATGGCAATGGGCTCCAGCCCTTTCGGGACCCCCAGGTTGTCCGTGTCAAAGATGGCAAAGACCCCCAGGATCAGAAAGGCCGTGGACATCATCTGGCAGAGAAAGACAAGGGCTTTACCCCTCCCCTGATGGTCCCCAGGCTGCCCCCAGCCCTCGGACCCGGGGGGGGGGAGAGAAAGGGTCCCTCAGGTTGCAGGAGAGAGAGCGCCTTTAGGTGGGGATGGGAAGCCTCTCTCGGCCCTGATGCCACCTTTTCCATTGAGGTGCCTTTTATTGGCATTAAGAAGGCCCCGGCTTCTGCCTGCCCCTTCCTGGGGCTCAGGATAAGTCACAGCCCCTCCCCAAAGAAGAAAAGTGGGACACCCTCCCAAGCAGCCTGCCTGCTCCTTACCTGGTCTGCGAAGCCATTGGTCAGGGACAAATATTCCTGAGGATATGTTGCAAAAATGTGTGCTGTGGCGTTGGGCCCTGTGACGGTGAAGATGCCATCCGTGTAGAAGATGAGAGCATCTGCGGAGGAAGCGACAGGCAGCAGCCTTGGAAGAGGGAAGGGGCAGCCCGCCTTGCCACAGAAAAGCTGAGTCGCGAGTGAGGGACGCTTGGATTTTGTGGGTTTTGCAAGAAACAGAAACGGACGCCTTGCTTAGATGCGGAGAACTCCCTTTCCGGTTCTAAAACTGGATGCCTCTTGTGGCCTCCCACAGCACTGAAGGCAGCTCAAGTGTGGGAAGCGAAACTGGCTTCTCAGGCAGAAGCTCCCTGGGGCCCAGGAAAATCTCTGCCCGGAAGCCCCTCCATGGGGTTTCCGCAACAGCCAAACAGTGCGCAAAAGTGGCCACAAATTCCGGCCACTCACCTAATTTTACAAGAATGTTTTTGGGTTCCTGTGTAAAATGCCAGCTGGGGCAAAGGAGGCTACCCCCTCCCACTCACCATAGTTGATTCCAAAGACCACAGCAGATCCAAGAAAGGCACCCAGATACTGGGCCAGGACATAAACGGGGAATTTGGCCCATTTCATCTTCCCAGTCAGGCACATGGCGAAGGAGACGGCTGGATTGATGTGACCACCTAGGAGACGAGGAGGAGAGAAAGAGGCTGGCTGATGCTCCCTTCTTGGTCCCTCGGATGGATCCCTTCTCAAGGCTGCTCAGCATCGGCTGCCAAGGAGATGGTCCTTGGGTTGTCAGAAGGAGCTTTCCTGGGAAGGTGGGCTCAGCTAAGCCCCCTGGCCCAGGACAGGCAGGGCAGTCCCGGAGGTCTCATCGTAGAGCTCACACTGGACTGTTCCCTGGCAGTTGCCCAGGCGGTGGGGTAGGCGGATGCTTGCAAGAGGCTCTCTAGGACTTCTCCGGAGGTCTAAGGTGAAGGGCATCCCACCACCCAATTTCCCCACTGCCTCATGGAATGGTGCTTGAGGGATGGCTGATAAATCATTGCATTTCTAACATGCCCCAATGGAAGTCATCTCAGTGGGCACTGGGGGAGGGGCTGCCCGCTTGACCGGAATATCTGTGTCCATCACCTGAGAGACGAAGCTTTCTCGGCTTCAAGAGGTGACATTTTCATTGTCTCTTTTAAGGCCTGATTATTTATTTATGGAATCCAATTATTTCTATCCTTTCTTTAAGTCCTGGGCGAAGGTTAATGATTTATTTCGGAGGAGCATCAACAAGGATGAATAAGAGATTAGCAGAAATCACTCTGGATCACCAGTGGCTGAGTTTGGGCAGGTTGGGGTCACGGGTGAGGGATGAAACAGGGCTGCTGGAATCAGGTTCAGGATCACTAGATCTGCAAGTGCCCAGCCAGGGGCTTCCAACCACAGGGGAGGGGTTCTGGCATCCCCTCCCCAAATGTGGATATCCACCGTCACCTGCTACAAGGTCTGGAGTCCCAAAAGAGGCAGAGCCAAGCAGAGACTCCTCTGACTGAGCCCTTCCTCCCCTCCGAAAGAGCCTCTGACTGACCCAAAAAATGTCTTGGATTGCAGGCACAGCTAGATCTTGTGCTGGGGGGGGGGTATTTTCCCAGGGTGCCTTTGTAGGGCCAGATTCATTTCTCTCTGATAAGAAAACAATGCAAGGCCAGAAGAGCTGATAGCCTGCACTAATGGAAGTTGGCCCTCCCCCGTCTGCTCTGCCATCTCTTTGCAAAAGGCAAAAAAACAAACGGGGGAGACATTTTGAAAGATCCCCACTTGAAATCTCTCCTCATCTGTTTCCCCTGTGCCAGATTCCCCTTTTGGCTCACAGACACAACCGCTCTCTGCACCGGGGACTTTCCTGAGGCCCCCTTGCAGCCTTTAGGAGATGCGCTCCGGAGCCGTCTCGTCCTTGGTCTGTTTTGCTTGTCTTCCCCAATCTGGGATCCAGCCTGGTGCCCACCCCCTGCTGGGACCAGCACATCTGAAGGCTGCTCTTCTTGGCAAGGGCTGGTGGGGGCTCCTGGCAGGGACCACTCCCCACCCTGTGGTGCCCTTGGGACCCTCGGGAGAAGGAAGAAAGGGCTGATCTGAGCAAGGGGCTAAATCTCCAGCTGCAAGAATAAGACAGCAGCCCATCTGTCCTTTTCCCAAACGGGTGAATAGCAAATGCCAGCTTACCAGAGATGCCTCCTGCCACATAGACGGCCAGGGTGACGGCCATGGCAAAGCCAACAGAGATCATCAGTGCTCCTCCCAGGGTCCCCCTACTCAGAACGGTTTGTGCCACGCAGCCACAGCCCAGCGCCTGCAGTTTCAGAAGGAGACAGGTGAGAACAGCAGCTGCCCACCAGTTGGGCAGTTCGGCCTTCCCATCTCTGGCTCTGACTCCGAGGGCCCTTCGCCTGCCCGCCCAAGGGGTGCAAAGGCCCTCCTGGAGCTCTTGGTTGCCAGAACTGGGTGGCTGGGATGCACTTTTGCACCACTCAGAAACAACAACTATTGTCAGTCAGGGGCATCTTGTAACTCCCGTCCACCACAGGTGCCCCCTGCGTATTTCTGTGGAAAACAGGCCCCTCATCCCTAGGGATGGATTCTTGCCATGAAGGTGGCATCATCTGAACATGTATCGTGTGTGTGTGAGAGAGAGAGAGGTGGGGGGAGGGAGAGAAGCAATTTGCCATTCTTTTAAGACTATATAGGACCTTTTGCATATCTTTGCTTAGAGCTATGAGATGCCATAATTTTTGTGCATAGTTTATGTCAGACAAATATTTGTTGGATGAAAACCTCTTTTTGTTTAACAGAAAGGCGGAGATTAATGGTTCTGCAAACAAAAGGCCCAGATTCTCAGGCACACTGCAGTGGTGGCATTGCAGGGAAGGGTTGGGGTTTTATGCGATGGATGTATATTTAACCACAATATGGATTTTTTATCCATATTGTGGTTAAGTTCTTTCTTTTAATCAGTCGCAATGATTAAATCATTTAATGATTAAATCATTAAATCAACGGCAGCTACTGACTGGATCTCCAAACTCGACATTAAACTTTGAAATGTTATTTCTGTTTTCCTTTTAGGTTTTCTTACTGTTTTTTTATTGTTTTAATTGTTTTTAACCTGTAAAAATGAAGTGTTTTAATACTGTGTGTGACCAATCATACGCTAAATAATAAATAAATAAAATCATTTGGGAGCCATTAGGCAAAACGGGATGTGGCGCTTAAGTTTAAACATGCCTATTTTAAAAGCTTTTTTGAGAAGGGGGGGGGCTGCTGAGAACCTTTTCAGTCAGGACCTCTAGAAGGAAAAACATGATTCAGAAGGAAAGGCCCTCCATAAAATAGGAAATGGAGGCCTCTGTGCTTGCTCCAGAGCATTTCCCACTCTGTCCCTGGCCGTCTATGCACCCCGAGGAAAGAGTCTGTTTCATGAGGTGTCGGGGAGAACCTCTCCTCTCTGGAGTCACTGGAGGGGGGGGCGGAGAGAGGGAACTTTGGGGGCGTTTTGACGAGGCTCTGCTAAAGAGTAGGACTAGTTAATTATTAATAAGTAACTAGAGGTTTTTGTAAACTATGGATTGACTTTATCAATCTGTTTATCATATTTATTTGCTGCCCATCTCACTGTCCAGGCAGAATTTATCTAGATTAGTTTTGTCTTTTCCTGCAAGAAGTAACATTTCTTTTAACACCTGCCAGCGAGAGCCAGAGGGCTCTCGCACAAACACTGCAGACAAGGGGCTCCTATGCAGACAAGCTGTCCGGAGGCACCTCGGACTCTGGTTTTGCAAGTGAGACCCTCAGTGGGAGCAAGGACGGTTAGGGGCGCCCAGACAAGGGTCCTGAGGGAAGCAGCAGAGTTTATCATTAGCATAATAAACAGGACAGCTGACTTGCCAATATATGGCAATGAAGTAGGAGTAACTGGTTAATAAGAGTATTACGATGTATTACAGGATGGCTTTGGCTTATGGGTGTGTGACTGTCATGTAAACTTGGTAACCAATCAGCAATTCCTTTCCTTTCCTTTACCCTGCTCCACTGTATAAAAATAACAGCCCGTTCGCTGGTGGGCTCCTTGGGGGTGAAATGCAGAACTTCTCCTACAAACACTTCTCTTTCCTCCATCTCCTCACCCAGGATCAGGTGCTCGGGCAGTTGGGCTGGCCACCCTCTCCAGAAGGGCTTCAGCTCCTCCACTGGGATTCCTGCAGACCAAGAGGCCTCGGGGGCATTGGGGGGAAAGAGGCACCGCTGCCCTTCAGGCCAGTGTTGGGGAGCAGGACCTCAAGGGAAGAAAAGGATTTGGGTGTGAGCAAGCAGGACATGATCCTAGCCCTGCATGAAATTTGGAGCTTCTCAGGATGTCAAAGCAGGCGCTGAAAAAATTCTCCTGCAAGTGAGGCCAAGGTGACCTTCTGATGGCTATCAACTCATCCTCTAGCAGAAGGCGTGGCTGTTTGGAGTTGCAGGGAGTAAGGAAGACGGCCTTGATGGAGATAAGCAAGAGGAGCTACGTGGGAGGCACATATGCCCCCCTCCAAGCCCTTGTCCACCATGGCCACTTAATCTTCCAAACTTTTTGAGCAATTATCAAGTCCTCTGGGGGGGGGACTCAAAGGGAGGTGGGGGTGCTGGTGGTGGCTATAATTCGTTTCAGTGACCTGAGCCACCTTTTCTGGGCAAATATCCCCATGTCCTCCGGCCTTCCCAAGGAAAGTTGTGCGTCTGCATTCCACCCTGATTGTATAAAAGCTGATGCCAAGCCAGCCTCAGGTTGTCTCAAGGCTTCTGATGCCGAGAAGCGATTTCTTGAAGCTCTCCCTGGGCCACATGCTGGAAGCCTTTTTTCCTAGCAGTTCCCATCCCTCCCCTTAATTGAACCCGGAGCCAGCCTTGGAATGGGCCAGAGGGCAGAGACTGGGGCGCCAAGCAAAACTGAGTCGCGACAAGGCACTGCTGAGTGGGATGGGCTTCTCTCTGGACTGAGAAGAAATGAAGAGAGGCAAGAAGAAAGCTGGACGTTGGGCAAGCCGTGACTTCTTGGGCAGATGCACCACCTGGGCATCAGCAGGGCCGGCTCCTTTCAGGCATGGCAGTGGTGCATTCTCTCTCTCCTGCCTTGATTCGTCTTGTGAAACAAGTTAAAACAGAACTCTCCAAATGGTGGAATCGCCAAAACGGGATTTCAATGAGTAAAAAACCCCTGGCGGCACTAAGCTGTCAGCAAAAGGGAATCAAATCAAAGAGGCATTAAATCCGCTCATCATCCACCCACCACCCACACACAATCCGCCTTTACTCTCACCAACAGGCCCGTCTGCGGGAGGAACTGAGCAGAGAAGAACGTTGCCTTGTGCAACAAGTTAAAACAGAACCTCCCAATGGTGAAATCACTGAAAATGTGGAGCAAACAATGGCACCAAGCTGCCATCAAAGGGGCACCAGACTGAAGCAGCGTTAAGCCTCCAGCCCAGCATGTAGGGGGAAGATTCTGCCAGCCAACTGCCACCCCAATGGAAAGAGCCAGCGGCATGGCTGGTGTGGGTCTGGGGCCTCCTGACACCAGTCCCAGGATGGTCCCGTCCTGTCCCCTCTGGGGTCGATCTTCCTGGGCGTTGTCTCAGAAAGTCTCCGCAACCCCTCCCCCTTTTCTCCCCCTTTTTCTCTCCTGGACATGCAAAGGCAAATAAACTGGCCTCTGCTTGGCTAACCTTTGACTCTGACTAGCAGCCGCCGGTGTCTCCTGGTGCCTGTTTGGGGTCGGGGTCGTTAGGGATCACCTGTGCTGGAAAGAGCTAAGAAGACATCTGGCCGCTCTAAAGACTTTGAAACATGGAGACCAGGCTGCAGAATTAAGTTCTGGTCAATTGAGAGCCCAAGGCAGGACATTGGGTACCAGTTGGGCAGAGTGAGGTCTGCAATGGGCAGGAGCCCCCCTCCAAATTTTCCAGCGTGAAACCATCTCTTGACCCAGACAGTTCTTGCTCAGAGCTGATTGTGGAATCGAACATGGATTCCTCCAGGGTGCAAGGAAGATTGTAAAGCACTTCACACAAGAATGGTCTGCATTGGTTTCAGGTGGCAGAGGGCGGGGGCTTCCCAAGGGGTGGGGTGGGAGGCTGGCAGGTGAGGGGGCTGCTTGGAAAGACAAGTCACACGGAGAGACGCCTTGTAGCCAGTAGTTTAGCTGCAAGTCAGCTGTTCTGTTAAAAGCACCAGGCTCCCCGGGCCTCTCACGTGGTGATCTCTGAAGAAGGGAGCCTCTGCCACAGGCCAAAGGGGACTCCACAGCCTGGATGTTGGGATTCCCCATTGATCCTGTTATAGGTATGGCTATAATCCCACCCATCGTGCTCTACCTCCAACTGCAAGTTTGAAAGGGAAAACCTCTCACACATTAGTAAAGCAAATAAATGCCTTTAAACAAAGGTCAGAATCAAGCCTGTAGCTTCACCCTTTCGTGGCTGTGGCCTTGTCCAGTTCTGGGATGAGATCCTAATGACAACAGAAATCTCGACTGACAGTGGGCCAACAGGAGGAGGGCTGCTCCTCTGTCCTTTAGCTGCTTCCTTTTATGAGTAGTTAAGTGAAATGTAGAAATATGCAGAGCTATAAACTCTGTGCCTATCAGAAAACTCAGGATTAGGTTAGAATAACCGGTGTTCTTTATTCCAAGGAGCTCATATTGCAACATCTTGTGCAACTCTAGCTCTCCCACAGAGCCGTCAGGATCCCGTCTTGGGCAAGTTCTCCAGAAGGTTACTCAAGGTCCCAGGAGACCCCGTCTTCACGGAGCCATGGCACAGACTGGATTGTAGCTGCACCCCTGAGCAACGCCTGTCTGCCTCTTGGGCTGATCTTGGCCAAGGACAACTCGAGGTGCACAGAGCCCGGCAGGGGTTGGGAGCAGAGGCAGGAGAGGGGTTGGTCATGGGAACGGCCAAGCTGATGCCAGTCTAGCTTTCTGCTGTCTGATGCTTGGTTAATGAGCAGTTCAACCAGACCCCCAGAAGCCTTTGGGGTGCTATGGTCTACCTTTTCTAGAAGACCTAACCTCTGTTGCTGAGGGACGTGAGGAAAAAAGGGAGCTGTAAACATTGGTGGTGGTTCCTGATGGAGCGCCTCCTCAGCGTGGCAGGGATTGAGTTTTATGCCAGAGCTGGAACTGGCCTGGGCACAGCACCCCTTCTTCGTATTTCCCTCCCTTTGTAAGCCTGATTACATCTCACCTGGGGATCAGCCCAGATGCAGAGAGAATGCCATCCAAGTAGCAGATGTGCCCCAAGGCAATTGGGGGAACAGGTGGGGTAGAAACAGACTCAGGTCTTCACAAAACCGACCAAACCACCCAACCAGCTGCAACAACCATTTCTGTGTACTTTAATTTCTGAGCAACATTTCCAGCTCCCGTTGCTGAGCTTGATTTGGGGACCACCAATGTTGCACAAGGGAGGGAGGGGGAGGAGGCCATACTTACAATCAAGATGAAGGTCCCCAAGAGTTCGGCCAGCGCTTCCTTCAGCAAATTGTTCTTTAGGGCCACTTTTTCTTTCAGGCTCTTTCCTACTTTCTGTGTCATCCTGGTGTCCTTGCTGGTTCTGACTTGGAAAATGTGCAGTCAAATGTGTGTCCCTCTTGCTTTTTTTGAACTTTGGCTCCCTCCTCAAACGGTTCTTGCAACACCCCGACCAGCCAGGGGGTTTCTGGGCCTCCCTTTGCCTTCCCAGATCACTCCTGAAGAGACCCCATTCTGTGCTGCCCTCTAGGCATGCGCCAGGCTATTTATAACAGGCCGGAGATAAGGCAAGGCAGCCCCTCGCTTGCTGCCAGGAGAAGCCAGCCAGCTGCTGATTGCACAAGTAACACACAAACAACACACACACACCGGCTGTGATAGCTGAAATCTGTGAAGGTTCAGGAGAAAAAGGAGAGTGGGGAAAGGGAGCCTCTCTTTATATATCTGTCAGAGGCCAGCTGGCGATTGGCTGGTGCTGCAGAGCCTCTGTGGGGAGGCTGCCAAGAGGCGTGTTCAGCCACACCTGAGCTGTGGGTTCTACACCTGGCTTGGGGGCGCAAGCTGCCTCCACATGCCCTGGTGATAACATACCCATTTCTCTAGACTCAAAGCATGAACCCTCCCAGAGGCTGATTCTCTGCCAGCAGTTTACACGCTTCCTTTAGCCATTGCCACATCTTGTGGCAGGGAGTTCTATAGGAGAATTGCCCTGCCTCCTTTCATTCCTGAAACTCATCTTGACGGTTTCATCAACTAACCTGTATTCTAGATCCGGAGAAGGGGAGAAGCCATGTTCTCTCTATGTCCTTGTGCCAAAGATGGTTTCGTAACTACTTTGATCAACATTGATTTTTCTTGGCTAAATAAACAGCTCCAGAAATGGGACTTTTCCCCACTTGGAAGGCAAGCAAAGCAGCTTCTCATGACTCATTGCGGGTCCCAGTTTCCCCTGTTTTCACCAATAAAGAAGCCCAGTGGGGAGCCTGCTGTCTGTCAGCCTTTCCTCTCAGTTCACCCAGAGTGGTCCAGCTCCAGTGCAGGAGGGGCTGCAGACACCTGTCCAGTTGGCTCAAGGCCAAAGGTCCCTGTATCGGGTGGGGGCAGGGGCAATTCCAAAGAGACCCAAGGAAGCCTTGGCAGATGGGGGCAGGTGGGCCCCACAGTGATTGACAGCTGTCCTTCTGCTGTCCTGCACTCCCACCTTGTTGCAGGAATTTCCCCACACGATGTGCCAGAAAGGGGGGGCATTGCTGCCCTTCTCGGGAGCTTCTCTTATGTGCATGGGTGGGAGTGCAGGCCTTTGCCTGTTTTTCATGATGGAAGTGCAGATATTGTTTGTTGCATTTTGCCACCGATTGCTGGCTGGTGTAAAAGGAAACGGCTATAAGGGATAAAGGAAACAAAAGGAAAGTTCCTGTGCACAGCCACTGCCCGGCCTTTGTGACCCTGCCGCATTTTGTCTCCCCCCCTTTCCTTCCTGGAACAACAACTGTGCAGGGAAAAAGAGCCAAACAGCTATTCCCCACCCCCACCCTTGAGCCTGCATGCCAGGCACTGCTGCCACTGCCAGAGGAGAGACTGAGGCTAAGTTCCTGCCCCTGGCCTTGGGTGGTTTGGCCCCTCCCTCTGGCCTGTCCTGAGCAGAGAGGGGCCTCATAAGGGAAGCCAGGCCTGGCTGGTGCCTGGCCCTCAGTAGACAAGGGAGGGTTGGCTGTGCCCTGTCTCCTCCCTGAGGCTGGAAGAGGGGGTCAGGGTGGAGAAATGGGGTCCATGCTGGCAGAAGCCTTGGCTGCCTTCACCCATATTCATTAAGGCATAATGACTGTACTAATTTAATGTGTAACTTTGACTAATTAGACCAAAGACTTATTCCTTTGGTCGAAAGGGTAAAAATAAAAAATTTAAGGGGGAGAAGAGAAGGAGCATTAGCCATGATGAATGGGAGGGAGGAATGTGGTTAATGGCATCTTGCTCATTAGACAGCCTCCATTAGGCAAAAGGTCACCCCATTTCCAGGTTTGATGCATTTCTCACAGAGTAAATTTGGGGTGGGGTGGGGACAAGGGAGAGGGAGGCAAAGAAGAGCTGAAAATAAGGGAAGCAGCAAGTGGCCGTGGTGTGTGAGGGCCGGGAACCTCCTCTTCAGGCCCCTGTCCATCCTGGGGGCAAAAGCACCAGGGCTTTCTCTTCTCTGATCCCTGGCCTCTGGAACTCCATGCCTCATGAGAAGTGCTCAGCACTACCAATGTTCTGTGTTTGAAGGGCAAAGAAAAAGCAAAGCTTGCCTCAAATGACCATCCTGGGCTCCACAAACAGGTATCTCCCCACATTCTTCGTCTGCTGTCCCTCGGGGGGGGGGGGTGTACTTTTCTTGCAGACATTCTTTCGGGGGTGACTGATAAGTGAGGGGAGAAGAAACCAACAAACAGGAGTTGCAAAGCCAGCTCAGCCTCCTTAGGTCTCCTTCTTGAGATCCTGACCTGCAACTGGTGTATGGAACCTCCCATCAGAAGATGTGGGGACATAATTTCCAGAGGGCCTGGTGATGCAGGTAGAGGGCTAAAATGGCCTCCTGTGCTGACCTTTCGGGGGGGGGCTGGGGCTGCTCCCCAGGGGAGGATGGGGGAACCCTTGGTCCCCTCTCTCCAGCACAGGCAGGGGTCACCTCTACCCTCCTGGTGTGCCCACGGGTGCCCTCTGCTCACTAGGCCAACCGAAAGCTGAACTCCACGGCTGGGGGGTGGGGTGGGGCGGCAGGGGCCACGGGGCAGCCGCCTGTGCCCGGTCTGTTTCCCTTTGCCTGCCTGCCTTCCTCCCGCATCCCCCTAGGGAGCCCGGGCGGCCAGACCGGCGGAGCTCTCCATGGTGCTGGCTGCGGAGCCCTTCGCTCAAGGGGGTTTCTGCCCCGACGCCCCACCCGACCTCCGGAGGAGCTTTGCTGGGCCTGACAGACCCGGGGGCCGCTCCGAGCAGCCTCGGCTGGTGGCGGCGGAGCGCTTTGGGGAACGTCTCCCCTGTCGCACAGACTCTCGACTGCGGGGAAAGCGGTCCTGAGCCCCGCCTCGCCGCCTCGCCTCCCCCAGCCTGAAACCGCGGCGATCCCCCCGACTCGGTCTCCTAAAAGGGCGCCCCGGCTCCGCCTGGCTTCGGTCGGGCTGACTGGCCCGCGAGCGCCTCTGCCCAGCGATGCCGCCAGCAGCCCAGCCCCGCGTGACCGGTGCGCTCAGGTTCCGACAAGCGCCGGGAGAACGGGAGCTGCGGAACGCGGAGTTGCTCCTGCCCGAGCAAGCCCGGAGCCTGGAAGGGGGGCCGCGTCCAGGCTGGCAGGGCAGTGCTGGCTGGTTTACTCAAGGACGGGTAACTCAAGAAAGTTCCGGACCGCCCGAGCCTCTGGCTCTCCCCCCCCGCAACTGCCATTTGCAGCTATAAATTCGCGGGGCCTTTCAGCGACTGGCTCTCAAATCACCCCAAGCTCAGAGGCACTCGAAGAATTCATTTAATTCACGCGCGTCCCGGGACGCGTGGAAGGAAGGCCGGAAAGGCTCGTTTAATCCTGGCCCTACAATTAAATCACAAGTCGCCTTCGAAAACCAGCAAGGGAATTAATGAGAGAGAATACCCAGAGTTGAAACGCCGAAGCATAAGAGAACATAAGGAGCCCCGGGATGTAGGAGGCCCTTGCCCGATCTAAAATGGAGATGGAAGCTTCATCTGCCATCCAAAGGTAGACTGCCTTTGAAGCGGGGTGGGTGGGTGGGGTGCGTGGGTTCATTTTATTATTTGTCAGATTCTCCGTCAAATGTCATTTGAATGAGTTTCTCTCTCCCTTCCTTCCTTCCTTCCTTCCTTCCTTCCTTCCTTCCTTCCTTCCTTCCTTCCTTCCTTCCTTCTTTCTTTCTTTCTTTCCTTCCTTCTTTCTTTCTTTCCTTCCTTCCTTCGCGGTATCCATCCCTTCGTCTTGCAAATTAATGAAATAATCTTCCTCCCCTCTGCAAATCTTATTCTCTTCTTCCTCAGGGATCCCTCAGACTGTGGAACCCTGGGGAGCCCCGCAGAGGAAGGCACCCCGCCGAGTCCAGGGCACCGACCGGGGCCGAGCAATGCGAGTCACTTCGCAGCCAGTCGGGAGAGAAAGGCCACTTCCATCCGCCTCCAGCAGAGGGCGGCAAATGCGCAGGAGATGCCACGGGTGGCGCTGCGTCCAGGTTCAGGAAAGGCCCGAGCCGGTGGCCCCCAAGACCTTCGGTTCGCTGGCAAGCGGGCACCCACCGCGAGCAAGAGCCTTCTATGGGGTGGGGACCACGAAGGAGAGTTTCTCTCTTTTCATGCAGGGAGCCGACAAACTCTGGGCTCCGCTTGGCGACTTTCAAGACAAAACGGCTCTCCTGGGGAAGAAGGCCGAGGCACTTCCCCAAGCCAGAGGGGACACGTTTGTTCCCTGAAGAAGGAGAGCGAATAGCAGGGCCCCTTCATCCCTGGGCCTTTGCCCCCACTGCCAAGAGGCCGCCCCTGCCCTTCTCCGTTGTCCCCGCTGCCCGAGGCGCCTCCAAGCCGGCCCGCTGGCCCTGGGGGCCCAGCCCGCCTGGCTCAGGGTCAGGGGGCGTTCCTGCAAACTCGGGCAAGGATGTCTTTTCCTCTTTTGGGGGGGCAACAGAGGGAGAAAAGCTGATTTCACCTTTTTGTGCTTTTCTTCATCTGTGCTGTAGCTGTTCTCTTTGTTTTCAACCCACATTTGTTCCCAGGGGATCTTCCCATTTTACAGAGAGGAAACTGTGGCTGAATTCCTGAACTCCCTTGGTGGAGACGGCCAGGGGGGATCCGTACAAAGCTGCACCAGAGTTTTGCACAGCCACCACCTACACTGAGAGCGCAGTTCCATCCCTGGAGAGATTTTCTGGGTCTGACATCTTGATGACTCCCCCCCCCGCAGCGAGTCCTTAATTAGATCCCTAAATTCCTCCTGGACGGCGTGTAGGGAGCCTCTTCCTCTTCTGCAGCCTCTGTTTCGAGACCGCCGGTCCCCGGCTGGCTTTCGGCCGCGCTGCATGGAAGACCGAGGTGCTAATTCTCCTTTTATTATCCCGGGGAAGCGTTCTCCTTTCCCTGCTCTCCTCGTTCCGCCTCCCTGAGCCCCTGTTGCACCCTCCTCGCTCTCCCTTTCCTTCCACGCGGGCATCCGAGGAAGCCCAGGGACCGTGGCTGGACTTGACTGGCAGCCGGGAGAAGACCTGTTGCCTTTCGAGCCCCCTCCACGGGCGGGGCCGGTAGGGGGCCGAGGAACTCGTGTAAACGGAGAGCCTCCGTTCTAGGTAGGACGGTCCGGCCTCTTTGGCCCTGCCCTCGGGTCCTATAAGAAGCGGCTGCCTTCACACCTGCCTAGATGCGCTGAGGAGAGCAGCCGCGTCTTCAGCACTCATCTTGGAGGACGGGGAATAAAGTAGATAAAGTCCGCGCCCCCCTCTCTCTTTCGCCCCCACCCCATCCGTCATCATCATCTTCAGCCAGATAACGGGGACAGAACTGTGCTGGAAAAGGCAGGAGCAGGAGAAGCGATGACTTCCAGCAAAATCGAGATGCCTGCTGGACTGAAGGCGGACCCGGCGGCCCTGATGGCTTCCCTGCACTTGCTGCCTTCGCCCACCCTCAACCTGGAAATCAAGCACACCAAAGTAAGTGGCCTTCCGTGCTTCTTTCCCGGAAAGCTTTGGAAACTAGGAAGCCCTTTGGATGCTGGCGAAGTGGAGCAGCCTCCAGAGGGATCTCCTCCTCTGCAGTTCCCCCCAGAGCTGCTCCAGAATCTGAGCACAAGAAGCTGATGGGTTACTGAACCAGAGAGGGAGACCCACACCATAATTTGCAAGAGAGAGAGAGAGAGAGAGAGAGAGAGAGAGAGAGAGAGAAGAGAGAGAGAGAGAGAGAGAGAGAGAGAGAGAGAGAGAGGAGAGAGAGAGAGAAGCTCCCTTTGCATTTTATGCTCCCAGCCTTCCTTTTAACTTACTTACCTCAGATTTCTCTTTTTTTCTAAGAATTTTTCTTTCTAAATATCAGTTGTTCCAGATGAGTTTGGAGGAACTTATTCATTCCTTGTCCAAACCTTGTTCTTTCCAACTAAAACTGCAAATGTTTTGTTTTGTTTTCTGTTTAAACCGATCAATAGACCCCTCGGCTTTTCCATTAGCATTCCTGGAGGAGATGCAATCCAATCAAGTTTGGCAAATTTGGAAAGAGTTCTCCTTTGCTGAGCTGCTGTGATATAAATAGTATAGGAAATAGGAAATAGTATAGTATAGTATAATAGTATAGTATAAATAGTATAATAGTATAGTATAAATATATTGTATATTGCTGAGCACATTGTAAGCCGCCCTGAGTCTTTGGAGAAGGGCGGCATATAAATCAAATTTTTTAAAAAATAAAATAAATAAATAGTATAGGAAATAGGAAATAAATAGTAGAGACAGTTTGATCAGGGAAATGTTCATTTCTTGTTTTTCAACACTGGCAAGATTCATCTTTGTTTTATGTATTTATACATGAGGCAGACTTGGAATTTTTCAAAGATTGAGATAATTACCCCAAATTGAAGTTCTATTGGCCAGTTGAAGTTTGCAACTTTCTGGCTGTGAATTCCTGTTTATATTACTCAGTGGTGTTGGACATGAGCCTCTGGGAAGATTCTTTGCACAGGTTTCAGGGTGATTTCAACTGGGTGGAATTTTGCAAGAGATGCTCCCGCTAGACTAGATCATAGCCCAAGATCAAGCCTTCCTCGTACTCTAATCCTGGAATGCTTTAAAAGGAGATCCGGTGCTTCAAACTTGAAAAAATAATTGATCATACTTGAAGAGAGGTACTGAGCTGAAGATAGTATGGTTATATGGTGTGTTTTTATTCCCATTTACTGAATATAATTTTGCTCTCAAATTGAATTTCTGCATTTAGTTATTCATTTACAACTTCTTTTAAAAATTAAGAAATAGCTAGGCTAAGTAGATTTAAAAGCCTTTTTGTAGCCCTGCAGATCATTTGGATAAACTATCCACATTTATCTTAAAAATAAACCCTTCCGTTTGTTTGCAGTAATTTTTTTAACACCCGCTGTAAATCACTGATCAGATCCCAGGGAGGGGATGCACAGATTGTATCTGCAGTGAACTTTGCTAAAGCAGCTTGTAAGTCCTCTGGAGATCAGTGGGGTGTGGGGCTGTGGGTACACCTTCCCTTGGATGTCTACCACATTTGCTTAATCCTTTTTTCTCAAATGGTCTAGGGTTTCCTGCCTGAACAGGGGGTTGGACTAGAAGACTTTCAAGGACCCTTCCAACTTTGTTATTCTTTCTATTTAACTGTTCATTTTACATGGTGGGGCCAACATTAGTGCCCCCCTTCTTTTTTCACTGCTGACTCTTTGGCCGGAGCTCATAATCTCTCCGAGTGTCTTGAAGCATCTCTTCTTCTGACATCTTTCTTCCCATCGAAATTTACAAATGGGCAAGGTGGTTGCCCAGGCATCTGGGTGGCAGAAAGGAGGTGGAGCTGCTGGTCCAGGCTTGTAGAGTGCCAGGCACCCTTTCTTGGGGGAGAGCTCTGCCCTCGGGCCCTCCACTTCAGGACTGAGGTTTCCGGCTGCCCACTTTGTGCCGGAGGAAGTCAAGGCTTCTGCTAATGCCTCTTGGGGCCGGCTGCAGGCAGGCTGGTGACCGGTGGCTGCACTACATATCCTAGTGTCCTCCCCTGTGGGTTGTTGGTCGTGACAGATGGAGCACCTGGCATGATAGCTTAGCACATCTGGAGAGGCTCCTACAAGTGAAGCTATGTGAAGCCAGATGGTAAGCATGGTAGAACCGGAAGAGGCAAATTTGTCACCCGGGTCTGTTTTAAGGGGCCCTTGAACTCTGGGGGCTTAGTAGAAATGGGGGTCGAGCTGGTGCCAAACCTCCAGAGGAGGGAGGTGTCCCAGGAGGAAGACCAAGCCCCTTGGCAGAGGATGGTCAGGCTGTCCTGGGATCATCCAAGCCGAGCCAGGTGAGAATCAAACTCTTTTCTTCCTGGGTGGTGCAGAGGCTATTTTTGGTTATGATAAATGGAACAGTCCTCTTCCAAACGTCCCCAGAGAGAATCTGAAGGGACATTTACAAAACAAAAGTGGGAAAGGATGAAAAAAGTGATTTATTCCTTGATTCCCCACCCCCACCCTGGGTGTTTTCCTTGGGGTCCCTGCCTCTCTTCCCCAATCCTCCTTTCTCTCGGCTTCTCCTCCCTGGGCAGGCCTGACAAGTGATTTATAGCTAATAGGAGCCTTTAATCAAGTGTCCGGGCTCTCTGGCCAGACTTTCATCCAGGCCTGGATCGCCTTTCTCACTTTTTGGAAAGAAAAACAGTGAGGCAGAAAAGAGCCGACTGGCTTCCTTCAGGCGGTGGGCTCACTTCTCGCTCTGAAGTGACAACTTTTCTAAACAATCCTGTTCAGAAGCAGAGTTGGGAAGGGAGCTGCTTCTATCCTCGGCATCTCAAAAACGTTCTGTGTGTGTGATTTCTCTTGCTGCTTCCATTGTAGAAGAAGGCAGGGAATCGATGTGAGTCTCTGTACTCTCCTAGCCAGCCAGGATAGGCAACATTCCCACACAGGGCTTGTGCGTCAGTCGGGAGCACCAGACCCCTCTGCTCCCCCATGCCTTTTCAATGGGTTTTGTGCAGGATGCCCGTTAGGGAGAGTGAGAGTCTCCTTGGGGACTTCCAGGGCCCCTGAATCTTTTGTCCAGGGGCTGCTGGGCAGAAACTCTTTGCACAAGGCAGCCCCCTCGGATGCTCCTCTCCCACCCTCTGGCCGATCCCCCTGCCTGCCTGTGGGGCAGCAGCATTTGTTTCTCCATTTGTTCACCACAGGCGCATGCTATGGGCTGGGAGGTGGGAAGAAGATTCGGGAAATATTTTGGTAACTCTAGAAATGGTTTACATTGACTAGAAGTCTGCGTTAAATAAACCCAGCCTGTCGAAAGAAAGGCCTTCTTGGTGACCCATCAGTCTTGAGCACATCAGCCGTGGGACAGCGGCTTTGCTGGGAGAGGTTGCCCAAAGATGAGGGCGCTTCTCCGTTGCAGCTGTGCGGCTCCTTCTCCTTCTGGGCTCTTGCCAGCCCAAACCTGGGGCAGGCAGATTAATTGGGGGTCAGTCCAATGGAGAAAGGCAACCATTTGAGGCTGGGGTGGCTCAGGATGGGGGGAGGCTCATGGATTGTGTGCTCCCCCTTTCAGAAGCACTTTGGGGCCCTGGACCCCATTTCCTTTTGTGCTCTTGAGTATTGCTGGGGTGGGGGGAGAGAAGGCTGCATCTGGACTATTTGCAAATGAATTCCAAGGATTTGGCTTGGCAATGCTTCCCAGGAAGTGTGCTTCAGGACATGCATGTGCTTGTTTGCAGAAAGCATAAGTGGGGAGGCGTAAACTATTTGGAGAAAAGCCCCTCTTCATAACCCAGGACTCCAGTGAATGGCAGGCAGAGGCAGAGGAGTCCTGGAGCTGCCCAGCAGATGGCAAGGGGCCCTTGAGCATGGAGCCAAGGCCTCGCCGGGGCATCAAAAGGCATTTCTGTCTGAGCCATAGCTCTTTCTGGGGGGGTGGCTGTGCCTGCAGACCCCGCCTGTTTGGCTGAGACATTGCTCTTCTCTGCCCTAGAGCTCATCTCCCTGACTCTGCCAGCGGCCCTCTTGGGGTGGCACCTCACGGGCAGAAGGCCCAACTAGCCCTGGATCCCACTGGCCCTCGGGAGCAGAGGGGATGCGCTTGGCTGTCCCTCCAAAAGAGCTTTTGGCTTCCTTTGAATCCCACCTCGATCGTCAGCCTGGCTGCTCCCATTTCCCAGCCTGGGGGCACTTTTCACATCCATGCTGCCCTCCAAATGATCCTTCCTCTGGAGGGGCCTCTGAGGGTCTCAGGTACGATGAGGCAGGATGGCTGGCTGGGGTGAGAGGCTGCTCTTGTGGACTTTGGGGTGGGGGGAAGGCCGGAGGGATGAGCGCAGGCACGAAAATCCTGCTCCCTTTGCAAACCTGTTTCTAAATGGCAATGGTGGGGGCGGTTAGCACATCTGGCCTGGAGAATATTACCATTTTGTCCAGCTGTGATGGGGAGGCAGGACACGTGGTTGCACCCCTTCCCCATGGTGGATCTGGGGAGTCAGCCAACTCTCCTTGGCAAGGGGGCCTGTGCATCCATCCACCCCCCCCCCAGTATGGCTGCTGGGCCAGACTTGGATAAACAGCTCCTCATCGGAAGACAAAGTGTGTTATGAAGGTTGAGACAGCCCTGTTGGTCTTCCGCCCGCTCTGTGCTCAGGGTGAAGAAGCGCCAAGAGGGGTGGGCGGGGGGGCTGCAGGACAGCCAGTGCCCCCACCCACTCTGCTATGTAAACCCAGTTAATCACTTTCTGGAGCTCTGCTGGGAAGAGAAAGCACAAGCTCAGAGTGGGTGGTTTGCAGCGGGGGACATTTTGATGCTTTCGCTCTCGCACTGCAGGAGAGATGGAGTGGCAAGGTCAGGATGGTGCACAGGTCAAAAAAGTCAAGATGGCAGCTGCAACAGCAGGATTGAAGCCCCAAGTGCATTGCCTCAGCTATGCTGCTGCTGCTGCCATCTTGGCTTCTTTTGCCCCTCAGACCCTCCCTGCTTGG